CGATCCGTCCCCCCCGCCCCGGCCTCCCAGCCTCAAACGGGAAGGGAACTGGGTAATCCGTGTTCCTGCCTCTGAAAGCTGTGACCTGTTCGCTAAGTGATGCCCGAGCCGCAGATCTGCCTCCTGGGAAGCAGGGTCATGACAGGAGCCGACGCGGAGCCCCGTTACCTCCGCGTCCCCCCCTGGTCCCAGGGCGGCTCCCCGGGAAGGGCAGGAAACTTCACTTTCTCGCGCGCCGGCCAGCGCCTCGCCGAGGTTTGGGGGCGGGACGGGGACGGGTGGGGAGCGGGGATCGCCAGCCGCCTTGCCTTAGTTTCATCCTCGGTGTCCGGGTGGAGGCTCTGTTGTTTACTGGGTCGAGTTAGTGGCAGCCAGCGGAGTGGCATCCTGTTTGGGTGCGTAATTGACTGTAAACACATAATAGAGATACAGGAATAAAGCGCTGCAGGCCCCGGAACCGCTTCCTTGCGCCCGCACCTTCCCCGATGTGGCAGGAACTTGCCCCTTGTTGATGGCCATGGGCCCAGGACGGTGGGTTTCTATGTGTTTGGCTCACAGGCGCAGAACCCAGGGCAGCTGCTCAGGGAGGACGCGCTGTGGGCGTGTCATTGGCCCGCGTCTGCTGAGACCGTGTAGGGCGATGGTTAGAAACACGAAGTCTGGTTAGAGAAAGGCCTGGCTTTAAATTGGAGTTTATGTGCCAGTTGTGTGGCCTTGTGAATGTCCGAGTGTCAGGTTACTTATCTGACAACGACAGGACTGTGGCGTGTTGCAGGGTCCGCTACGGAAGGTGTAGCGCAATGCACGTTAGCTTTCGTTATGGAGCCCGCGGTTCAGTCTCTTGAAAGACTTCTGGCCCTGGCTGGTGTGGCTCAGTGGATAGAGCCTCATTCTGCAGACCGAAGGGCCCCAGGTTCGATTCCGGTCAAGGGCACATGCCCAGGTTGCGGGCTCAGTCCCCAGGGTGGGGCGTGCAGGAGGCAGCCAATCAGTGATTCTCTCTCATTGATGTTTCTGTCTCTCTTCCTTTCTGATATCAATAGATATATATTAAATAATAAATACTTCTTTCCCACCAAGCTCGTCAGAGTTCCAGCTGGTGTTTCCACACTTTTAAACACTGGAGCATTTGCGAGGTAATCACCACCATGCGGGCTTTGGGAGCGTAAGCGGGTCTTTCTGAAGAGCAGACCCTGATTTGAAGTTGTTGTCCTCTGGTTGGTGACAGCTTCACAGTCACAAAGCCGGGGCAGGGGCAGCGTGTAAGCAGCACATCTGCTCTGCTGAGGACTCCGTAATTGTGTCACGGAATAACTTCTAAACATGCCAGCTTCTTGGTAAAGTTGCTTTCGAGCCTGACATCTTTGTGGCCGTCCTCTCGCTTCTAGAAGCTTCATTGGGGCCTTTCCTTTTGCAGTGGGACCCCATGATTACCACGTTGCCTGGCCTCTACCTGCTGTCGGTCGGGGTGGTCAAGCCGGCCCGCTGGATCTTCGGCTGGTCGGAACATGTCGTCTGCTCCATTGGAATGCTCAGATTTGTGAATCTGCTCTTCAGCGTTGGCAACTTCTACTTACTGTTTCTGCTTTTCCGCAAGGTACAACCCAGACACAAGGTATGTTTTCAAAATGTTTTACTCTCAGTTTACATGCCCTCAGCTCCACCATTATGATGAATTGGTTTTATGAGATTTGGTGGAAAATGGCTTCAGCACTTAGTATTTGTGTATATTTTGTCAAGATAAAGTAAGACCTCCCCAACCTCCATTTTAGAAGAAGTTTATATTTAAATATTTTAATAACTTATCCTATATAGAAGGGGTAATATGGAAACTGACTCTAACAGAACGACCGGAATGACCCGTCGCTATGATGCGCACTGACTACCAGGGGCAGGCACTCAACGCAGGAGCTGCCCCCTGGTGGTACCTGCCCTCCCACAAGGGGAGCACCACTCAGCCACAAGTCAGGCTGGGGGCTGCAAGCGTAGTGGCGGTGGCGGGAGCCTCTCTTGCCTTCGCAGCAGCTCTAAGGATGTTCCGCTGTGGCTTAGGCCTAAGCTGTCAGCTGGACATCCCTTGAGGTCTCCCGGGCTGCCAGAGAGCCCGAGGCACAGGTAACCAGGGCTGGCCAAGGCTTGTGCTGCCGGCAGTGGCAGCAGCACAGGTGTGATGGGGCGTTGCCTTCCCCTGATCACTGGGTCGCCTCCTGCCCCTAAAGGCTCCCAACTGTGAGAAGGGGCAGGCTGGGCTGACCCCCCCCCCCGGAGTGCATGAATTTTCATGCAACGGGACTCTAGTTTACTTATAAAATCTAAAGTAAATATTTTTTTTTCACCAATCAAACCATTTCAGTTACTATTTACTGAACTTACTCCATGTGCTTAACATTGAAACTGCAGAGGTAAATGAGGTGATAATTTTCTTAAGAAAGCTGTATTTTCATTAGGAGAAACAGACTTTACCTGAGGAATTTTAAAAAATATATATTTTATTGATTTTTTTACAGAGAGGAAGTGAGAGGGACAGAGAGTTAGAAACATCGATGAGAGAGAAACATCAATCAGCTGCCTCCTGCACACCCCCTACTGGAGAAGTGCCTGAAACCAAGGTACATGCCCTTGTCCGGAATCGAACCTGGGACCCTTCAGTCCGCAGGCTGACGCTCTATCCATTGAGCCAAACCGGTCAGGGCTACCTGAGGAATTTTTATGTGACTTAATGTAGGCCCTGGAGGTAAAATGCCTGGGTTTGAATTCTGTCCACTTACTAATTATGTTAATTGAGGCAGGTTACCCCTCAGTGACTCCAAGTCTTAATCTGTTAAATGGGAATAATACACAATCTACCTAATATGACTGTTATGAAGAGTAAAGGAGATTAATAGTGGAAGATGCTTAGAATAGTGCCTGATGTAATGTTAAGGACTCAATAAATATTAATTACAACAGTTAATTTTAACTTATGGAGATTATTTCATTCGTGTAAGTTATGAGCGGGGGATAGGTGTAAGACACTCTTCAGATACAGAGGAGGAGCGGAGACCTACTGCAGCCCTGGGAGAGGGGTGTGGTGGCACTGGGTAAGGCTCCAGAGAGAAGATGGTACCTAAGCTGAATCTTGATGCACTGATAGGGCTTTAGGGTGGGGAGTGAATCCTGGCAGGAGGAGCATAAGCACAGTAGGAAGCATGAGCGACAGATGCAGGGAGTTGGTGTTTGGAATTAGAGAATTATAATAGTACTAGAGGCCCAGTGCACAAAAATTTGTGTCCGGAGGGAGTCACAACCTCCCGACGGCTCTGAACTCCGGTTCCGGGAAGTCTCTGGGGACCCAGGACTGATGCGGGGAGAAACTGGACTGTCTGGCAGGAGCGATCTTGAGGGCTGCTTTCCCTCAGAGGTGCTTGCAGCCGTTACCGGGACACTGAGACGCGTCTCCTTAGGGCAGGGCTGAGGCTCCGCCATAGCTGCTTGCTCCGCCCATTGATTCCCTGAGCCCTTGCCCACCCATGCTGCCGCAGAGGCTT